TAGTAAAAAAATAAAAACCTCATATGACATTTTACCTCAGCCTCAATTTGTTCTTATTTTGTTCTTAATTTTTAAGCAATTTCAACCTCAGTGTTCTTATAAAATATGTGCATATAAAAAGAAAATGTGTGATAATAAAAGCTTAATGGCTTACTGTATTATGCAGTTCATATTGTTTTTTTTTTTATGTTTGTTGGTCTTATCATAATCCATGTCTTCAATAGCGTTATAACATACTTTAGTGATAATGGTAATAATAATATTAGTAAACTAGTAATAATTATAATAATAATAAAAATGATGATAATAATAATAATAATAACAATAATAATAATAATAACAATAATAATAATAACAATAATAATAATAATAATAATAATAATAATAATAATAATAATAATAACTATAAAGAGCAAATGTAATAACCTTGTTAATAACCTTGGATAATAATTTATGATAATAATAACAATACGAATAATAAATAATTAATAACTATAAAGATCAAATGTAAATAACCTTGTTTATTCTGCATAGATAAAAATTTAATGATAATAATAACAATAACAAGAATTAAAAAAAATAACTATGTAGAAATTAGAACTTTGTACGTTTTTACTTTTTACCGTAATTAATTTCTTATGTTATTTAGGCACTTTGCTGCTTACATTTTGAATAAATATTTTCTATGTAAATATTGTTGTTAATTGTGCAATCGATTAAATAAAGATTTAATAACAGAATGATAAATCTTGACGCCTTCCTACTATTAAAATGCTTTTTTTAATTTATGCATAATGTAAAGTTGGGGGGGGGAGTCCGGTAAAATACCGGGGGCAACCTGCTTGCTTCCATCGTGGTTGTCAATTAAAACTCTCACGTTTTAATTGAAATAATTTTTGGAGTTTATAAGTTCTTGTTCTTCAAATCGTAATTCGTATTTAATAACATCAGTAAAATTAGTTATTAAATTAATTACTGTATTATATTATTATTAAATTATTTATTAATTAGTTATATAATCGTTAATGAAAAAAATGATTAAATCAATTATTATATTCAAATAATTATTTATAAATTATGATATTTATATAAAAAGACTAAAATAAATTATCAATAAAAATATTTGTTAAATTACTTATTTAAATAAATTAAATTAAATTAGTTTATTATGTTATTATTGAGGTTTATGCGGACAAAATAAATTATCAATGGGTCACATGGGTGTGACCAAGTGATCGTAACAGTTTATCCATTCTCAAATACAGTTAGTTGACACATTCTGTAAGCACGCGGCCAAAAAAGCTGTGAAATTTCATTGAAAATAGAGTGCGTTTTGAGTTTTGCATTGCTACTTAAATTTTGTACTGTTGCTTGAGTTTTGCACTGCTGACTCTGAGTTTTGCACTGCTGACTCTGTGTTTGGCACTGCTGACCCTGATTTTTTCACTGCTGACTCTGTATTTTGTGCTGCTGGCAGTTGTAGTTAGTCCTTTTGGCGTTCCATATATATCCACATAGAGGCTACCACCAGATTAGTCGACTGAGTTAAGCTGCTCCTAACGGACTGTTAAAAGTTTGTGGAATGTAATACATTGAATAAATTCTAATTAAGATGTACGCAAATCATATGAAAATTAAATAATGGTAATAAAATTCAAAATATTGTAACACATAATAAAATTTAACAGAATAGCTTATAGTAGGATTAAAAGATGAAAAAAAAAAGTATATCAAACAAATCAATTTTAAAAACAAAAATAATTTTAAGGCGCGATCTACAAATTATCCCCAACGACAGAAACGCGTCTGGGAAAACCATGTATTACAAACGCGTCTGGGAAAGCGATCGTCTAATTATCGTGCCTCATGAATATTAATAAGCTA